AGCTGTAAGATGAAAGCGAATTAGCACCTGTAATGACGTATGTTAACAGATCGTCGAAAAAATATGCAGCTTTTATAAAGATATATTATTTTATAGATATAAAAACAACATTTCGATTGTAACAAATTTAGCATATATTTGGATTTAGGTTTGGTATCGATAACTAATGAATCATGGGAGGCGTGTCAAATTTGGCGTGGAGATAGTTCGTAAACATGCCTAAAATTTTTTTATGAAATATTGTTTACAAGCCAACAGTCGACAATATTTTGACGATACGAATCTTTGTGGTTATGTCCGATAAACTGAAGATGGGATAAAATATATACTTAAGTAATAAGTTCCTTAAAATATGAAATAATGATGATGATAATAATTTGTATCATATTTACAATAATACTAAGGAATATGGGTATCCCTTATGGACCAGGATTTTATTACATTTCATTGATTGTGAATAGTGTATTAAGCAGAATATAGAGGGAAGTGGTCGTAGCCTGTTTAATAACGGGGATAACGACAAAATTCTCTGTTAGGTTATCCTACCTTCAGATCAAGAATGGAAACCGGGACCTCAGAAACACGAGACATTAGTGCTAACCATTGGACGTTTTGTTGTTACATTTGTAGTGCGGATGGTGACATGACGTGTTTCAATTTGCTCTTGTCTAAAACGATATTCAGCGTTCATTTCAAAGAAATGTTTACTTGGTTAGGACCCACCTACAGTGCAATCTTCCACTTTACTGACAGATAAGATACTTACTTTATGGTCCCATAAAATAATATTACGTTACTTTAGGTTATGATTTATAGATCCCATAAAGTCGATCAATATTTTAGACACGGAATTGTTCACGTCTTTATTTTATCAGCGGATAAAGATATTTTTATAGGGCGACAGCACATCATTGTAGACCTTAAGGACATACACCCATCGGGCATTGTTACCGTAAGAATTTCGTGCTGTGTGCTTTAATTTAAGTTCTTGTCTACGAGCAGGCATGTGAGATGAAAGAACCAAGAACTGTAAATTTATAATTATACATTTATTTAATGATTTATTTCTTTATAAAATTCAATAGTACAGAATCCGATTTCTTTGAATGTTCCTTATTTTATATCAAAAGTTTCCCTTCGTCGGTTACACTCCAGAAATTCTTACTCGATGTTATGATCTCTGATACAAAAACAGAATGGAATAATAGCAGGCGTGATTTGGCAAATCGTGAGTCATTGAACTGTATTTTAGAATACAGTCACATGTGTATTGTTGAGAAACAGTGATATAACGTGTGGATCCAACAATATGTCTTCTTGTATGATTTGAGGTTTTTACAGCGGTGAGTATGAAGATTTCAAGACAGAAATCTTCAATATGAGTTCGAATAAACCAATAAATTAAACGTTATGTGAGTTGTATACATTTATTTATTTATTTATTTATTTATTTGTAGTGTTCTGTCTGACGACAGGTCCTTATGAACAGGATCCTTCCATCCTTTTCTCGGACTGGGACCTGTTCATATACGTTCTTGGCAGATGATCCAGAAGTGGTTTGCCATTGCCTTCTTCTGTGTGTGAATGGAGTAATTGTTGGGAGGCCACGGAGAAACGGGAATCGAACCCGAGACCCCAGGATTACAAGGCCAGCGTTCTAACAGCTAGACCACCGTGGCGGCCTTTTGTATACATATATGAAGTAAATGCAAATTTTGTTGTCCAGTGTCCGAACGGATCATTTTCTCTATTAGAAAATCTAAGTTGAAATCGATGAAGAAACTCGATCTTTTGATGTACGAATCAGATACCATTTCACAGCAGTGGCATTCCTCCACATGAACCTCCCTAACAATTTTCCTGCCCTCCTTTTATGATCCTCTTATTCTTTTCCCCGTCCTCTGTAGTCAAACTCCTACGCACTGCGGATACCCCATCCCCACCTCACCCTTTCCCGCCCCTTGTACACAGTAAGTGGAAGGGTTGGTCCAGAGCGCATGCGCGAAATTCTGTCCCGTGTTTCGACATTTTACTCGCAGTCCGGGCAGCAAGAAAGGCATCCCGGTCGTGTTGAAGGGCTCCTACTAGAAGGATGAGAGAGTAACGCTGGTGGGATTTTGCCTGTCACCGTGCAAGAGACGCCAAGCGTCACGATGCTCCGTGCGGTACACTTAGTCACCGCATACGCTTCTGTAGGAACACGTGTCTAGAATTAAAAAAACTGCCGCGCAAAACTGTTCCCCAAGAACACGCACGAAACTGAACTTTCTATCGAAGATGATGAAACATTACTAAGATAATTTCATTTGATTGTGAAGTTTAATGTGATGTGGGGAAGTGTCGAACAAATTTTGTGAATCCTTGATATTAAAAAAATACATGCTACGACGTTAAAACATCAATAATAATTCTATTTATCAGTCCTCCTTTCAACACAGGCTTCAGTTAGAGTATACACAGAGACAATTGAAGGTCTCATTTAACTGCGATGCTACACAGTGAATTCTGTCATCATGGGTAAGAAGAATTCCAAGTTGAAACAAGAGACCATCGACCGTCTCATCCAGGATACCTACTGTGAGTACCTGATCTATAGTAAACAGTAAAATTGAGCTGCATTTAAGACTGCATTTAATACTTCGAGTTATATTTGATATTTAAACGGAAAATTTTTTTCATATAATTTGAGAGAGGTCCACTCTACCTCTTGTACAGTGGATGCCGGGGATCCTTTACCAGAGGACAAAGCGGCTGGAGCGTGAAGCTTATCACTCACCCCATTTAGTACCTAGGTTAATAAAATATGTAGCTGTACTTGTGTCTTTATGCCAAGGTGATTAATAATTATCAGCGACAACTTTATCTTTATTTTATTTCGTGTGCGACATTCATTATAACAAATTATTAAACTCAGTTTTTATAAATCAAAATAATATTTAATATACAATTTTATAAATAATAAGCCTGTACCCACTACTTAAATTAATTATTCGTTTGTTGTTTCTGAAAATTAGTCGCAAGAAATTGTAGTATTATGTACAGCAGTCACAATTTTAATCTTTTGGAACTCTAATCTCGTCTAAATAATGCTCAGAATTTTATTTCATAATTAAAAGTAAAAACAATCCATTTCCATCACAAAGCTCAAGTTGTTAATGCTGTTCAGGACAATAATAATAGTTTATTCTGATTATTATAATATACAGACACGCTCTGTAAGAAAATTGCAAAGAGCCTGAATGTTTTGCCTAAAGCAGGCTGTACACCTAAACTGTATATAACTTAGTACTTGTTTATTTTATTAATAGATAAATTTAACAATACTGAGTATATCAAATCTAAAACTTCTTGACGATGGTGAAGAGTCAATTGAATAAAAATTTTCTTGGATATTATCCATCGTCTAGTAAATATAAAAGTTAAAACGAGTCCCATCTCCGAAACGTCGTTTTACGTTTTATATTTACTAGACGATGGATAATATCCAAGAAAAGTTTTATTCAATTAACAATACTGAGATTGCGCAACACGTACAAGAATATGCTTAGTTACCACATACGTTTCTAGCATATTTATGCTCCTAGCTGAAATAAAAAATACTGTAACGTGGATGTGACCCTCTAGTGAGTTAATATTATTTGCACTTTAGAAGTCCATTCGCCTGTCATGTTGTTACTACTGTCTGTAGAAAATTAAAAAAATTATGAGTTTAGTGTAGTCTCCTGTGGCACAACGTCCATACTAAATTTCATCCAAATCTGTCTAGCTTTTCTATAATTTAATAATGCGTACAGACGGACGGACAGACATGGGCAGTTCTGTATGCGTTGACGTCGACGCCACGGTAGATACCAGAATAACTGGCGGAAGAATGGTCAGGTGAGTCACTGGCAATCAGAGAAGCTTTCAAAGCGCCTAGAAAATATCTGACTGTCGAGGCAAACGGAGCTGAGTTCTGCTACGAAGATCATGAGATTGAGGCTATAGCACGGTTTTAAATACGCCCGATTTCGGTCAATATTGTCGTTTAATGGAGCCTGTTTGTAGATAGAAATTTATTTCCAAAAACTTGTTCATTTGAATCACACCCGTTGCATTTTATCGGTTGTGATTAAACATCTGCACATCGCACTAATGTGAGGAAATTAAGTGCTTAAAGTTTCAAGATTCCTCATCTACGAGGATGATCGAACTTGAACGTAATTACTGAAGTTAGCGGTCGCAGATAAAACTCTCAGCGGCCTACAACTTCTCTGGGAGACAGACGTCTCCAGTGCGATCAAATTACCCCCAAAACTGATTGAAGGGTCGATTTGGTACCCACAGTTAGTGTTGTACTCTGTCTTTGAGGGTTAGGAGTAATACTACTCGCAAATAGATATTTCCCTTGAATCGCCTCTGGAAAGCAAATGTATATTGTTTTCGTACCTCGTTACTACTGGTAAATCCTTAAAAGAAATTTTTTGCAAAGTCAAACGTTTGAGAACGACAGTAATAAAAATTACATCCGTCATTCAGTTCAAAATCTGTCTTCGCTCATGTCAAAAAACTGCAAAGAATAGCATAAGTCGTACTATAATTTAACTATTGTTTTGTACAGTTGTGAATAATGGTCTCTGATCTCAGGCGAATAACACAGATTTAGGATTATCCAGGAAAACGTTCCGAAGGCAATATAGACCTAATGAACAAAGATGACTGTACTTACGTTTCAGAGATTCTTGCTGCCTCCATCATCAGGGCGATGAGCACCTTCGCTTATCATATACTCAATTCTCCCTTCCTCAGATCTCAGTAGTCCTCGTGTATGATCCGGTTTAGAATTATCGATTGTGGTCTTGTGTGCTGTGACGCCGTGCAGTCTTATAGTTGGTTGCGAAAATATCTGAGGAACTAATCGCCTCCATTTTCAAGGTAGACCCTTTCTTCCGAGATATTGGTAACCACCTACAAGAATACACGGCATCACCATCCGGAAAACGACAACCAACATCTTCACCATCGTGAGAACTTCTAATTTCGGAAAGTTCAGAATTGATTTTCTATTAACAAACCCTTTATAGACATTTGATGGTCTTCTTGTGCGGGGCATCGCAATGCCCCTTCTTACACCGGACATCACATCGAGAATAAAAATTCGGCGGGTTAAGAAACCGCCGGCTAGTGACCGGCCATTGGCTACTCATTTATCCCACTGGACCGCTGACTGCACTAACTAGTTAGTAGCAAATTCTTGTGTGTTATCGTATTCCATTAGTTAATACCATTTCTCTCTGAATCTACCGCTTTTCTGCATTTATAACAAAAACATTCTAATCGACTTTAAATTTAATGAGCAAACTTAAGATCAGATCCTAACATTTACTTTCCATATAATTTTAATATTATCCTCAAAACTTAGCTTCGGTTTGAAAAAGTATTTTTTTAAAGATATTTTATAAATGCTTATGCATATTTAATATTACTTCATATTCAATTCTGATTCGTTCATACACATATACGTTTTCCTACCAGGATTAAACACTAATGATAAATCTTTATTTTGTACTCTTCTGTACTCCTCACATAATTTCAGTCTCATAGATAAAATATCTTTCTTACTATGGACTCGACGACCGTGGTTCTATACCCTGCGGTGGCAAATGAGTTTTTCTCTTTATCACAGTGTCGAGAAAGTCGCAATGGTCCACGTGGCCTCTTAATTGTTAGGTACTAAGGTACACTTTCCTATCTTAATGCGATATCTGTAGATATGGACCCTCTCCTTCATGGCCATTTGTATAATTTTTCGTGTCTTGTCGCTATAAAATATTGTAGTTGATGCAGTATGAATTATGCACAGTATAACCAATACAATCATACAAACGGGCGAAGTCTGCATGTAAGAAAGCTGATTTTACCCGTATTGAACGTGTCTCATTCTTACACCCCCCCCCCCCCTTGAAATTTCAGTTAGCCTCGCCGTACCAAATTAAACCTACTGTAAAGCTGTAGTCCACTTATCTGAA